ATTGAGACGAAGAGACTCCTCGAGGTGGTCAAGGCTACGGGGCGCCATGGCAGGTGGAGGGCGCATCGCGCTCAGGGCGTCATCTACACGCCCCCCCCCCCCCCCCCCCCCCCCCCTCCCCCCGCCATCGGGGCCTTCGTGCCCAAACAGCTCGTCCGAGCCCTCGACGTTGGAGTGGAGCTTCCGCATGGCCACGGACATCGGCCTCGACAAGACGAAGATCAAGGAGGCATTCGAGGAGCGCTTCGGCGCGGTGGACCGCGTTCAGCGGTCTATTTAGCGCTCGCCTGGCTCGCTGGAGGTCTCACGGCCTCGACGCGAGTGGGCCTGCGGCGTTCGGTGCGTGGAATGCGCGTGCCCCCCTCCGCCGCGATCGCAGCGCTGGAGGGGCGCGCGAACGCAAGCTCGGTTTCCTGGCGTCGCACCTGAGGCGCGGGGTGGCGATGGCAGTGCAGGAGGTTCACGCCGCCCGCTCCGAGCTACACCAAGCTCTTCATCGATTGCATGTTCGCCGCCGAGTCTTCGGGTCGACCCCGCGCGTCGACGCGGGAGGCGTGCGCGCCATCTGCCCCGTGGCGACCGCGTGGAGCAGCGCGCGAGATTCGTTCGCGACGTCATTGTGCCTGGCCGCGCCCAGAGGCTGAGGATCTGGTCTTTCGGCTGTCCCGAATTCACCTTCATGCAGTACGACTGCTTATAACGTGCGCACTTTTAATCCGTCTGGTGAGGAGCGGCTCGTGTTTGGTCACAAGCTCTTCTCTGACCTTGCGATGGCGGATATGGCACCCGAGAGGGTCGCGGTTGTTTTTCTTGGCGGCTTCAATCTTGACAAGCAGGCCCCCATGCACCCGAGGGCCCCTGAAGTGGGCGAGCGTCGCAGTCAAGGCGACGTTGCCGCGCGTGCTCATGATCAGTTCTGGCAGAGCGTCTTCTCGAGGATGATGGAGGTCGACAGCGAGCTGCCCACGCACTACGTGACGGACGAGTGGCAGCCCAAGCTCACGCAGATCGACAGGGTATTCGTCTCTATGCCGAGCTGGGTGGCGCTGCAGCAGCACTTCACCGCAGCGACGGCGGACAAGCCTGAGGACTTGCGCGAGAAGGGGATCAGCGACCACGCCCCTGTCGTCATCTCGGTCGTCGCGCGCTCTCATGCTGCAGCTGAGGGGCAAGAGATCCCCGTCCACTTCTTAGGGATCCCGAGTTCAAGGCCCAGTATCAGCGCCTCTGTGCTCTTGTGGACTGGCGAGCCCTCGGCGTGCGCGCGCGGCGTCGTCGGCGCAAGCAGCTGATGAAGGAGGCCGCGCGGCGCGTCCGCAATCTGCGGCTGCGCCAGCCTCAGCGGGGGACCAAGCTGATGATGTTTCGCTCGATCTCTCGAGCGGTCTGGCGTGCTGATGCGGCACTGGCGCGCAGGCTGCTGCTGTCCTGCGACCTGGCCTCTCAGTGCATCTTTGTCGCGGGCGCGCAGCCTTCGCTCGTGCACCCCCCGCCCTTCGCCCGCGATTTTGCTCAGGAGCAGCAGCTGCACTTCGAGGCTCGCGCTGCTGACCTGGAGCGACGCGAGGCCAAGGCCTTCGACCCCGCCTCGCTCAAGATGGTCAACGCGGCGCGCCGCAAGCTGCGGAGGCGCCAGGCACTTTGGTATCCCTTCGGTCGCGCGCTCAAGTTGCAGGGGGTCAGGGTGCCCGACGACGAGGGCTACCGCGTCGTCACCGAGCATGAGGGCATGGTGGAGGCCCTGCGCGCGCACTGGGCGCCGATCCTCCAGGCCAAGCCACGGGTCGCCAATTGGGAGCTCCTCGCCGACAGGTATATCGCCGAGCGCGCACCGAAGCTGGACCTCGTCGGCATCCCCCCCCCCCGACAAGTCGGCTCTGGTGCGCGCGGCGGCGCGGGCCAGGGATTCTGCACCTGGGCCCGATGGCCTCCCGCATGCCGCCTGGAGGAGCTGTCCCGAGGCCCTGGGCGCGACCGAGGACGTCGCCATCGAGGTCGCCATGAGGCTGGCCCCGCCTGTCGACTGGAACGATCACCTGATGGCTTTTCTCCCCAAGGGCTCGCTGGAGGACGACCTGGTAGATGGCGCATATCGCACTGCCAGCGCCACGCGAGCGATCGCGCTCAAGAACGCGGACTGCAAGCTGGTGGCAGCAGCTACGAATGCACGTCTGAAAGGGCCCTGTGGAGAAGGCTTCCCCTGCCCCCCAGCGGGGCTTTCTGCGAGGCCGCAACTTCATCGACAACATCGCCCTCCTGGACACGAAGGCCCGCGCTGCGGGCTTTCACCCGAGCGAGAGGCCCCTGATGGCGCTCTTCGACTTCGGCGACGCCTTCCCATCGCCGAGGGTGGAGTGGGCCGTCGCCATGCTCATCTTCTCTGGTTTCGAGGGCGGGCTGCTCTACACTGTGCTCGCGCTCAACTGGCTCCCCGCGGCCTTTGTGGAGCTGGCGGGCGCACTGGTGCACTTCACGTGCGTCACCTGCGGGCTCGCACAGGGCTGCCCTGCGTCGGGCTCGCTGTGGGCCATCGCGATGAACCCGCTCATCCACCACATGATGAGGTTCACCGAGCGCGGGCTATCGGCGCTTGGAGTGTGTGTGTGCTGATGATGCGGGAGCTGTTCTCGGACGTCGGCAGCTGCTGGCGGGGCTCTGGCGGGCCTTCCAGGCGGCGCGGGTGCTGGCGGGCCTCCACTTGAAGCATCACACGACGGCGAGCTCCACACGGCGATCGCTGACCTCAGGGGCTGGCTGCATCGCCACGTCCCGTCCTGGGCATCCATGCTGATCCAGGACAAGTGCGAGCACCTCGTCTTCGTGGTCGGCCCTGGCGCGACGGAGCGAGACATCTGGATGAAGGCTGGCGCGAAGTGGGTCTCGCGTGTCGTGGGCCTCTCGCGGAGCGGAGCGCCACCATCGATCGCAGCTCGGCTCTACAACCAGCGCGCCCCCCCCGTCCTCGGCTACCTGCAGCAGCTCGCGATGACGCCGAGGATGCTCCTCACTAAGGAGGCGCGGGCGATCGCCAAGATCTGGCACGTCCCGCCCCAGTCCATGGCGGGGGGCGACTTCCTCGCCATCGGCGCGCGGGCGCCTGGGCTCCGCATCCGATCGACGAGGGCGGCCGGCCTTGCGGCCATGATGCGCGCCGCCCGCGCGACCGTCTCCAACTGGGGGCAGCTCTTCGCCTGGCTCCGCGACCAGCTCGACAACGCATCACTGCTCGCCGTCGGCCTCGGGCAATCCTCCCCGACCTTCTGGAGGACGAGGCCCATCGTCATGGGGCTGGCCGAGGCGCACGAGGGCTTCGTGAGTGATCGAGCGCTCGCCCGCCATGCTGGCGCCGCCTGGGCCGCTCTTCGACAGGCCGAGGCGCAAGCATCGGCGTCGGGCGGGCGAGTGCGTGTTCAGAAAACTGTGCGCGCTGCCTTGCACTCCTCCCTCCATCCTGACTCCCCCCATCTTCTGATCATGCGTGGGATGAGGGTATGGGGGCTCGAGGTTGTTCGCGACGCCCGTGTGGGCGCCGCCGCTGCCCGTGAGCGATGGCCCCCTCTGCGTGAGCTCCTAAGGCGGGTGGCCCCCTCGTGGCAGAGTGCCGCCCTGAAGACAATCTCAGGGGCTTGGTTGACCTCGGCGCGGCTGCGTGTGCAGGACGGCGTGCATCCATGCAAATTTCGGTGTCGCGAGCCCCCACTCGTCCCTGCTCTCGATACCTTTTCTCACTACCTCCAGTGTGATGTTCTCTGGGGTCTCGCCTGCCCCCAGGGCTCTCCGCCTCCTTGTTGCCTCAGAGCTCGCATGGGCCTCAATGGGGCCCCGTCGATGCAGAGTGTCGAGGCGATAGTGATGGCATATCATATCTATAACACTGCCCGTGTTCTCGCGCCGCCGCCCGCTGATGAGGAGTGGGACGGCCATCTTTACGAAATTCGGCGTGCTGCATTTGCTTTCGTCGAGCTCACAAGGACTCGGGAGGCTCCGTAGGTCTCTGCGGCGCCCGCGTGGACCCTCCTGGAGTACGAGCGACACACACGCACGCACACGCGCACACACACACACACACACACGCACGCACACACACATGCACAAACACACACACACACACACACACACACACACTTTTTGGCGGTCGCGGCCTCGCGCGCAGCGTCGAACCGGAAAAAGGCGGGGTTCAGTGCGCGCGCGGCCGGGCCTTTAGGCACACACACACACACACGCCCGCACACACGCCCGCCGCACGCACACACACACACACATCGACACACGCACGCACACACACACACACACACGCGCACACACATACGCACATACACATACACACACACTGTCTTGTGGTAGCGGCCTCGCGCGCGGCGACGAGGCAGAGCAAGCGGAACGAACATGCACGCCGAGGCGTGGCTCGCAAGCATCACTTAGGATGCGGTGCGCACGCACGCACTTTTGTTTGGCATCGCCGCCACGCGCGCGGCGGCGCGGCGTAGACAGTCGAGGGGACAAGCACAAATTCACACACACACGCGTACACACACACCGTTCTGCGATCGCGGCTTTGCACGCAGCGACAAGGCGGAAACAGTGAATCATAGAAAATTCATTGGCCCCTCAGACAATGCGGCAGGGATCCAGGAGGATCGGCCATGCCATGCGCATACCCCGGCGTGGACAGCGAGGGTGGAGGAGCAGACAGCAGTGAACATGGAATTGGAGGCGCAGCGCAGCCGAGTTGGCAACGACGAGAGGACAAGTCATTAGGACAACAAACCAGGTACAGACAGCACGCCAAGGCGACAGCGGCAGACACACACACACAAAGGACACACAACATGCGAACAATAACATTGTGCCTGCGAAGATGGCCCAATGTTTGTCTGGCAGCCTGCGGGGAATATGGCACATATACCCGTACCCATCTGCATGCTGGTTCGAATCTGTGCTGTCTTCGTATCCCAGTAATGTGAGTGGGAGAAAGAGCAGGAGGAAGAGGCCACACCAAGGTTCAGGTTGAAGGACGACCCGACCCCGGACGACGTGGACAAAGTGGTGGAGGCCCTCGACGGCGCTTTCAAGTGGTTCCCTAAGAAGATACACGTGCATGATCATATAGCATAAACATACATTTTCTGAGGTCCGCGCGGATATTTGGCGTTTGGCCATTGACCTTCCCTGATGACGCCTCTGACGTCCTCTGCCGTATTTCGCGCACCAGGGGAGGGGGCTTTCAGCACCCATCCAAGAGATCTGCGCGCATCTCTGAATTTTTGCGCTTATGATTTTTGCTGTTCCTCTAGGTTCAAGGACCAGTCAATGTCCTCCGACAGCCTTCACAAGGTGCAGGCGCTAGAGAGCGAGTACACCGACAAGAAGAACAAGTGGAAGGCCGCGAAGAAGAGGGATCCTGAGTTCGTAAAGGTCGCGCAGACCTGCATCAAGGGGCTGGAGGCCGGGCACACAAACTGGGTGCACTCATTCCTCCCGCCTTGTCTCCTCTTCCTTATCCTGCTCCTGCTTTGACTGCCTCTGCTTTTTTTCTTCTTCTTCCGCCTGTTCCTTTCCTCCCCCCCCTCCTCCTCTTTCCCAGAGCTGATAAGGTTCCACCCCATGGAGTTGATGTGCACCACCTCCTTTGCCGCTGGGGTACCGTGTAGGCCACTCTTGGGCTCAGGATGGGCCTAGCGGCTCTGGAGGGGGAGGGGGAGTCTGAGGAGGAGAGCGCGCGTTGTGGGAAATCCCCCAGGTGGTGACGCAGGCGGAGGGCTTTGCATCCGGGAACGGCGCAGACCTTTCAGATGGGGATAATTCCGGAGCAGACGCCGGGTATCCGATGCAGCGCCAGGCCCCGCCGCTTTTCAAGCAGACCAAGCACATCCAGCCCTACTTGACTGTGCTGTCACTCACCGCCGTGCTCATGTTCTCGTGGGTCTTCCTTCTTATCGGCAACATCGTGGACTGCGCGACGGGAGAGCAGAGCACCCTCACAGCACCGCACTGGTCGCGGCCACCGATGACGCGCATGTCGTACGTCCCGCACGACCTCGGGACCCCTATTGGCTTCCCTCACCCGGCGTCCTCTATCCCGTACTTCCCGGAGCAGATGCGCTGGCACGAG